AACATTGAGATTCAGTACAGCTGGTTGAAGAGGAGTGCCAACTCATTTGCGGATGGGTTGGCCAAGCAAGGAGTGAATAGGGAGTCTGTTTTTTGGGCTAGTTTTTAATCTTTTTCTTTGCATTCCCTTTGTTTTCTGTTTTTGGGGAGCTAAGTTATTTTATCTCCCCCTTTGTATCCTTATTCCCTCTCTTCTTTTAATTTAATGAAGATGGTGTTATTGATCAAAAATAAATAAATTCCAATAATAATGAGAAGTAGACTAGAATGTCATGTGAATTACACTTTAAATACACCAAAAAACAAGTGTAATATAAAACATTGTAATTTCTAAAGAAAATAAAGTGAAACAGAGGCTGCCAACAAATTTATCCTTTTTAATCAGTGCCAGCAATTTTATCCATGTAATAGTTAAAATGAATACCTCACCAACTTTTATCTCTTTTGAGCCATCACCATGTATTATCTTTGCAATATACCCTTCCTCCATGCATTCCATCTCAACCGTTGCTTTATCCTTTAAAAAAAAAGACAGAGAAAAAAGTCAGATCTTTGTGAGAGCTAAATGCAAAGATCAGATACTTAGCAAGCTATAAACTTAAACTGAAGGTCAGCAGCAAGAACCATACAGTTTCGACTTCACAGAGCACCTCACCAGGAGAAACCTTATCACCTTCTTTCTTCAACCACCGTGCAATGTTACCCTATTTCATTAAAACAGAACCATTTGTTCAAGAAAAATAGTAGGGGGTTGCTCATAGTCTCAATGTCTTCATCATAACAAAGTTGAAGTTATTCATACCTCTGTCATTGTAGGAGAGAGGGAAGGCATTCCAAGTTCTTGATGTGGAGGAAGCTCTAAAACCACATGTTTTACAACAATTAGTAATTTGGAGGACAAATTTCTGTTTATTATAGGTAAACAACTAAGAGCATTAAAGCAGTAGATATAGTTCATACAAGAACAACCATGTCTAACCAAGCAAATCATAAAATAACAAAGAACAAAGTAACAGAAAAATGTATGCATCAGCAGTTCAATTTAACATACCTACAAAGCAAACACATACAAATTATATAAACACTGAAAAAAATAGTAGCTTTGATTCTTAAATGCTAATAAATAAGATACAATATATGCAACATAGCTATAATAACATCTACATCAAATAACTGAACAGTGCATGAATACAAAGTCAGTCCTTTCATCAAAATTAGGTTTAGGGTTATAAAATGGCAACTGGATTAAGGCCTTGGGAAACCAGTCCCAACCAGAGCCCAATGTATTCTCTTTTTATAAAAATAAAACATTCATAAATAAACAATGTTAAAGAACATATTAGGATGGACCTTTCACAAAGAAAATTCGGTTTGAAATCCTTCACACGTTATTAAGCTAAGTGTAAATCCTATATATTATTGTCTTCAGCTGCCACATATAAAAATATTGTGCATACAGAGATGTTGTGGTGACCAGAAGAAGATGGCTTTCACAAATGGATCTTGAGATATTTCAATATGTTTACCAAAGGTTAGTTTATTTAGATATAATAGACAAGAAAGCATCTAGAGGTTTCTACAAGATCTGATGCTTGATATAATAACTGCCAACATATACTACCCGTGTACATTGAGAGACTGTACATTGGGCTGTACAAAAAGAGTTAAGAGCAGAAAGCTCCAATATCAAAAAAAAAGACTGCAATTGAACTCCCTGAAATACCTTATGTATATTTTGTCGTGAATACAATAAACCTTTGACATTCTTTGTCACAACTGTTATGTCACTAAATTTGTTTTCAAAAATTCTTTGGTTTCTTTCCTTCCATGCTGCCCAAATGACAGCAGCAGGAAATGTGCTCCATAGAACTTTTCCTCTGTGGCTTAAGCCCTGCATCCTCCAACCCTGAAAAGGCTCCAGCAAGGACTCAGGCAGGCATCCTTGAAAACCACCAGAACTGATGCTTGGCTTCTTCTCCAAGACATTACTTCCAAAGTTCCAATGCAAATTGGATGGATAAGAACCACCAGTTGTATCCCACTGTATGGCATATCCTTGCTAGCAACCAAGTTTATTAATTTCCTGCTACAGATGGGGTGACAGAGTTGAAGATGGATGTGAAAGTGGTTGAGATTCAGATTCTAATGAAAAATACATTTCAACATTGGTCCTTGAGATTTTTTTTCTCCCAAATGCAACTGACCAACAAAGTAAGCTTCCAGAGAAAAACAGAAGTTACATGAATAGAACTAAAATTGTGCAAGTACATATAAGAAAAATCATGCTAGGAAATCCAGACCACACCTGAAGCTGTTGAAAAAGATCTTCGCCGGCATGCTTGTGAACTGAAAAGGAATAAAATAGTCAAACATTTGCACACCTAAACATCAAGAGAATATATAAATAAAAATGCAACAACTAGCCACAACAAACCCCGAAAAGCCTTTGTTGAAAACTGTGCCAACCACTGGAATGTCCATTTTCATTGTTCTTGAAAGTTTTCCTTTGTGTTCACCTACAAAAGGTGACTAAACAAGAGAGAGATTTAAGTTCGCAAAAATCAAAAATTCACAATGAACGATGAAGCAGATATATGTAAAACAAACTAAAACTATAAGAACAAACGGAATGTAAAAGGTGCCCACAATCACCTTGGAGAAGTCAGGACAGTCTGCTATACAACTGTAGTTGAACCTGCTGATTGTACTTGGAGTGCCACCAATGGAAGAATAGAAACTTCCATCTTTCTTTACAGGCAAATAACCCTGTTGATAATTCCTTAGAAGATCTGCAATAATAGAATAAACTAGTCAATACAGTAGAATCAAGAATCATAAACAACGTAAATCCACACATTGACTACTGCAAAACATCCGTCAATTAGGAAAAGTGAAGCTATAAAAACATAGGCAATGATCACTTTTCTAATTGACAGAATACCAGAAGAAGCAACTTATATCTGCTAGCACCATTATACACACAAACACCAGACAGAGCCATGTTTATTTATAGATAGATGGAAGAATGGATACAAACTTAGCCCTTTTGTGGGTAGGTATAGATAAGAACTTTTTCTTTTTTTTTTTTTTGAAGAAGGTAAAGTACTGAATTATATTAAGGGTCATTTACTAAAACACCCCTTGTAGTTTCACAGACTAACTAAATCCTAACCTATAGTTTACGTTTTACTAAAACACCCCCTATAGTTTGCAACCAATTTACTTAATCAACCTTCTATTAAGAATCCTTTGTATTTCTGTCTAAAAATGGTAACATGACCATATAAACAGAGTGGAAAATGTTTAAGGGAACGAGACCATGCTTCCTTATTCCGAAAGCACCCCTAAAACTTCATATCAAGCTTCTAGAAAGAAACAAGGTCTGGTTATCAGATCTAACAAAAAAGTTTGGCATCCAGGATTTTTCATCAGCAATGGTGAAGGGATTTTTCATCAAAGAGAGTTGTTGCCTGCGTTTTACTAGGGACATCTTAACAGTAGAGAAATGGCAGAAAATAAGAGAGAGAGAAGGGAAGAAAGGTAGAAGGGAGAAGGTAGAAGAGAAGAAGAGAAATTGGCGACCAAAAAGAATAGCTGGCGGCACCAAAATATATTAATATTTATAGGGTGACCAAAAAGGAAAGGGAAAAGACCATTGTGCCCCTGCTGTAACTAAAGTACAATAACAGCCATAAAATAAATAATTTAAACAGACCAAACTGACCCTAACTAGACAAAATAATAAAATAGAAATAAGGTAAACTATTTCAACACTCCCCCTCAAGTTGGGGCATAGATGTCAATCATGCCCAACTTGTCAAACAAATCATTATGCCACACATGATGAAGGCCCTTGGTCAAGATGTCCGCAAGTTGTTCTTCTGAGCTAACATATGGAGTGCACATTTCTCCACTCACAAGCTTTTCTCTAATAAAATGCTTGACCACTTCAATGTGTTTCATCCTATCATCGAGGACTGGATTAGTAGCAATGTTGATAGCAACTTTATTGTCACAATAGAGTGACATGGGGTTGTTAACTGCAAAACCCAGTTCACCTAACAGGTTTCTTATCCACATGATTTCAGCAACTCCATGAGACATAGCTTTGTATTCTGCTTCAGCATTGGATCTAGCCACCATACTTTGCTTCTTACTTCTCCAAGTGACCAAGTTTCCTCCCACAAAGGTACAATACCCACTGGTAGATTTTCGGTCATCGACTGCCCCTACCCAAACAGCATCTGTATACACTTCCACTTTCAAATGTCCATGTTTCTAGAGCAGCAAACCAGCTCTTGGAAACTTATTGAGGTATTTAAGGATCCTCTCTGCAGCTTCAAAGTGAGCTGTCCTAGGACTGTGCATGAACTGACTAAGGACACCATTCATAAAAAAAATAAATAAATAAATAAAAACTAAGGACACCCACTACATAAGCAATAACAGGCCTGGTCATAGACAAATATAAGAGTCTACCTACAAGTCTCTGGAACTTCTTCACATCTTTCAAGAACTCCCCTTGACTGTTTCCCAGCTGATGGTTAGGTTCAATTGGTGAATCAATTGGCTTCACCTCTAACTTGCTTGTATCCTCTAATAGATCGTTGAGAAATAAAGATGCCCTTTTGAGAGCAGGCAACTTCAATCCCAAGGAAATAATGCAAGGGTCCTAGATCTTTCACCTCAAATTGAGTGGCTAAGAATTTCTTTAGTTGCTGTATTTCAGTCTTCTAGTCTCCTGTGATCACTATGTCATCAACATACACAATTAAATCTACAATTTTCCCTTCACCTTTCTTCACAAACAGAGTGTGATCTGACTGGCATTGTTTGAACCCTATCTGGTGAACAGCTAAGTGTAACTTACTAAACCAGGCCTGAGGTGATTGTTTCAACCCATATAATGATTTTTTTAACCTGCACACCTTCTGCTCACTGACTTCGGTGCAAAAACCTAGAGATTGAGTCATGTACACTTCCTCCTCTAAGTCACCATTCAAGAATGCATTTTTAATGTCCAACTGGTGAAGTTCTCAATCAAGATTCGCTGCCAATGAAAGAAGATCCTGATAGAATTCGGGCCCGTTTAGCGCGTCTTTCCGCAAGGTCTTTCGGCTGTTTACAAGCCAATAAGACCAAAAATCGGTCTATTTCCGTTTGGCACACGGAAAATCTAGCCGCCAAAAGACGGGACGCCGAAAAGACGCAAGAAGCCCATTTTGGGCTGATTTCAAGAAGCTCCAAATGAAGCTTCTCATGTCTTTCGCGTTTTAATCTCGCGCGGAAAGACCCGAAACGACACACGGAAAGACGCGCATCTGCCAAACGGTCTTCGGGCTGCCCAGATCTTATGTCAAAAGCTCAATGCGTCTTTTGACTGTTAGAGCTACAAGAAGATCTTCTCAAAAAGACTTGCCAAACGGGCCTGAAGATCTTGGCTACTAGAGCAAATGTCTCTACATAGTCTACTCCATATACCTGTGTAAACCCTTTTGCCACCAATCTAGCCTTGTACCTCTGAACTATTCCATCAGCCTTATGCTTCCCTATGAACAACCACTTGCATCCCACTGGTTCCTTCCCTTTAGGAAGATCTACCAACTCCCATGTATCATTTTTGTGCAATGCATCAATTTCTTCCTTCATTGCATATGTCCATTTAGGTTTGGATAAATCTTCTGCCACATTCTTAGGAATAGAGACATTGTCAACGGAGGAAACGAATGCACGATATGAAGGTGAAATATGATCATAGGACACAAAGAGAGAGATAGGATGATTAGTAGTACAAGATCTAACACCCTTTCTCTTAGCAATAGGAACATCAAGATCATTAATAACAGGGGGATCAATATTAAGGAGGTTCAGGCATATCAATGGGAACAAGTGTACCTGGCTGATGAGGAGGATCTACCTTTGGAGAATCCGATGATGTTGGTTGCACAGTTTCAAGTTCTACGGCTCTTGAACTCTATTGGCTCTTGTGGTGGCAAAGAAAGACACGAAATGGAGGAGGATCAAGAAGAKGAGGTAATTGAGTTTGACCCTGGGTGTGTTTCTCCTCAACCCTACTCTCCCCCTAAGGAGAAACAAAGAAGAAATGTTAACTCTCAAAGAATGATACATTCATGGAGACATAGTACTTGCGTGAGGTGGGATCATAGCAACGATAACCCTTTTGAGATAAAGGGTAACCAAGGAAAACACAAGAAATAGCACGAGGATCAAGTTTACGAGTAGGGGACAAGTCATGAACAAAGCAACGACACCCAAAAACATGCATTGGAATGGGGGACAACAGAGTTGTAGGAAACAAAAGTTATGTGGGGCCTTATACTCTAGTAACCGAGATAGCATACGGTTGATGATATATGTAGCACACAGAACAACATCCACCCAAAAGTGTTTTGGAACATTCATATGGAGTAATAAACCACGAGCTAATTCAAGAAGATGACGATTTTTCCTTTCAACAACACTGTTTTGCTGGGGTGTCCTAGCATAAGAGCTTCAATGAAGAGATCCACACGAAGCAAAAATCTCCATAAGATCACTATGGAAGCACTCTTTTGCATTGCCCGACTGGAAAATATGAATTTTAGTTTGGAATTGAGAGAAAATCATGTGTTGAAAGTCTTTCACAATCTTTGGCACTTCATCTCTAGATCGCATAGGATAAACCCAAGTATATCTAGAGTAGTCATCAATCAAAGTAATGAAATACTTATATCCAGCCTCAGTAGGTAGAGTAACAGGGCCCCAAACATCAGAATAAATTCAGATCTTTTATTTCTTAAAGGAAAAGAACTTCTACAATGATTGCTCAATTGACATGTCTGACACTACAACTCACTAACTGACAAAGACTTAAATAATTTTGGAAACGTGAGTTTTAATGACTCAAAAGAAAGATGACCAAGACAAGTACTATGCCATAAGTAGGCTTGACTCTCACTAGATGAACTTAAGGACCATGTAGCCACAAGACCAGTTTTATTCTCCAACACATAGAGACCATCCACCATGCTTCCTCTACCAATCGTCTTCCCCGAGATCAAATCCTGAAACACACATGAAGAAGGAAAGTAACTGAGCAATGCAAGGAGTGAGTAATACTGCTAATGGAAAGTAAATTTATAGGAAATTTAGGGACATGCAACACATTAGAGATGGTAAGGCCAAATGGAAGAGATATGGTTCCTTGGACAACTATGGTGGAGAATGAACCATAAGCCAGTCTCACCTTATCTCTCCTAGAGAGGAGGTTATATGCCTGAAATAAATTTGACTTACCAGTCATGTGGTTTGAGGCTCCAGAGTCGATTATCCAAGGGGAATCAGATGTATGAGATGACACATGGAAAGTAGTGGTAGTGTTACCTGATGTAGACGCAAAGGAGGTAGAAGGAGTAGGACCAAAATCCATCTAGCGAAGAGTCCCACCATATAACTCCAATGGTCACGAAAGGAGTTGATAATCTCTTCCTTGGGGTCAAAACTAGGGTGCCGCTCCTGAGTTACATGGGACTAGTCTCTTGAGATGCCACATTAGTTGAATTATATTTTTTCTGATTCTACTGGATTGGTTTCTTACTCTGATCAGTTGTTGATTTCTTACCCAATTCCTATGCCCATTTAGGTTTCCCATGGAGGTCCCAACATGTATCTCTAGTGTGCCTAGTCTTTTAACAGTGAGTGCACCAAAGTTTACTCTTGTCATCCACTCTCTTCTGAGAATCATCCTTCTTAAAGGAGCCTCCAACCTTTAAATCTATACCTCTTCGGATAGCTAGGGCAACCGGCTCCCCCTCTACACAATTCATCACACTTCTACTCTCTTCTGACTGAACTAGGGCATAAACCTCCTGAACTGATGGTAAGTCTTTACTTCCCAAGATTTGTACCTAATAGACTCATATATAGAGTTCAACTTCAACCCCAAAAGAAAAGCAAATACCCGTTGCTGAGAAACAAGTGACTTGTATGCCCTTGCATCTTCATCACACTTCCAATTCACATTTTGATAGTGATCCAGTTCTTTCCAGATTGATGTCAAATCTGAGTAGTACACTGAGAGACTTCTCCCCCCTACTTGCAAGTAGAGGATTCAGCTTGCAGTTGGTATATCTTGGCATAGTGCCTTCTCTCTAAATAAGTAGATTTTGCTTGTTCCCATATTTCACAAGTTGTTTCAGCCCACATGAATGTCTTCCTTACTTGTGGCAGCATGGAAACCAAGAGCCATGACATCACCATACTATTTTCTTTGTTCCACTTATCATATTCAGCACTTCCAGTCTTCGGTTCCTTCACTTTACCAATAATTATCCTATTTCCCACCTAGCAGTAATGTAGAGTTTTATTCCCCTAGACCATTCAAGGTAGTTTAGTCCATCAAAGGGAATTATAGCCATGGGAAAACTCATATTCATCCCCCACTCACTCCATTTTGACTTCCTGAAACCCCACAAATTACAGAATTCTCAGAGGACATGGTTAAAAAAAAATCAGTCTCAACACACAGCTTAGGATCCCTCCTTACACCAACAAACAAAACCTAGCTCCACACCAAATAAGCAGTCCACATACATACTTCGGTTTGGACACAAACTGAGCACAAAACAGCACCAATTTCCAAACAAAAAGGCAAGATCGGATTGATTTCAGACCTGTACGGGTTAACAGTTCCAACCTACCAATCTTCCAGAATGTCAAAGTGCATTAACCATCAGGAGAGATCCTTAAAAAAGTTGTAATCACAGCAAAACCTGGAAATAGCAGGTCATCCGTGACCTACAGTCACCCTTTCATAGGTACAGGATCACACGATCCAAGAAAAAAAAGAGGTATAAACCTCACAAATTTCTGACAACATTCAGCAGCCCAGATTCATTTGAATTTTCTCTTGGTACACGACCAAGAAAGATATGAGGAAAAAAAGGAAGGTTTGTACCAGTCGTAGGTCAGTTTTTTGTTCTCGGTCTGGAGAAGACAGCAAGTTGAAGTGAAAGCCTTGTTCGATCTGCTCTCACATTCAGTAAACCTGCTCTGGTACCATCTTAAAAGTAGAGAAACGGCAGAAAATAAGAGAATGGAAGAGAGGAAGAAGGGAGAAGGTAGAACAGAAGAAGAGAGATTGACAACCAAAAAGAATAGCTGGCGGCACCAGACTATATTAATATTTATAAGGCGACCAAAAAGAAAAGGGAAAAAGACCCTTGTGCCCCTACTGTAACTAAAATACAATAACAGCCAAAAAAATAAATAATTTAAACAGACCAAACAGACCTTAACTAGACAAAATAATAAAATAGAAATAAAGTAAACTATTTCAGCAGGACAAAAATGACATTTCCATTTTTGTTTTCTGTAGATTAAATTTGTTTGAAGGGATGTTAATGCCAAATCTGTCATTTTCTACTTCCATCTAATGGAAGGTTGATTAAGTAAATTAGTTGCAAACTCTAGGGGGTGTTTTAGTAAAACACAAACTATAGGGTAGGTTTTAGTAAATCCATGAAACTACAAGGGATGTTTAGTAAATGACACATATTAATCTGCCAAAAAAAAGTACATCAGGGCACATACAATGAGAGACTGTACATTAGGAATATACAAAAATAAACATAAGAAGAATCATCTATCAAAAGATCAACTTCCAAAAAAGAACTAAGTTGGATCCCTGAAAATTCCTCTGTACACCTAACCGAGAACATAACAATCCCTTTAARATTTCTCTTTGTTTCCTCCATCAGTGTATTTGTTATCAAAAATATGATGAGTTCTTTCCCTCCAGATTGATCAAATGATAGCTGCTGGTAAAATATTCCATAATATTTTACCCCTGCTGTTCAGACCCTTAATCCTTCATCCTTGCAGCAGCTGTACTATTGTTTCAGGAAAACAGAAATGAAGGGGTGGTAGATAGATATGAACTTAGACCTAACACAATGTATGATTAATTTTTTTCACATAGGTCATGTATATATCTAGATATCCAATGTGGCAATGCATTCAACTATAAGCACACGTATTTATATCCTCTATTTCTGCACATACAATTTAGTCTTGTCTGCCCCATATAGACATACTTGGGTTCACAACTCTCCATTACAGATGTGCATACACCCATTTGGCAATGCATGCAATAGGAGATATCCTGACTCACATCTTTGACCTGTAAATTATGCAAACATGCATATACAACCATATATAGCATGATCATGCATGTGAAAAGAATAGTTAAATGTGGGCATATGAAATGTGCACAATGTCAAGCACTCAGAAAATGGATGTTAAAAAAAAAAAAAAAGATGCCACCATGCAAATTAGCATTTAGATCTTTCAATCAAAGACAAAAATGATAAACCAGAATCGTAGTCTATATACAATGAAACCATTTTGGGTTTTCTTCCATGTCCTGATCTTAAAAAGTTCAAACCTAAAGATAGCACAATTCTACATCCAGTGTATCTGTTTTCAAACTAACATTTTTAATATTTTTAGAAAATACACATGGAGCAAGCTTACTAGCTAACTAAAAATTATGCTCATCATACATGAAATATAGTAAATAGTGGTTATTGATTATCATGGAACTCGCTCCTGTTGCCTAGAGATTGGAAAATAACTACTAGATCTCATTTCAGCTGAACTAACTATTTACCATCTCTGCTATTGGTGGAAGGGCAAGCAGCTTTTGAGAACCAACGAACCAGAATGACAGGGTCAGTTTGTAGTAGGTCTGGAGCATTCCTCAACTGTAAAACTCAAACACCATGAAAATCAAATTATATAGTGTAACCATGAACTGTGTTATTCTCATTCACAGAAGACTGGTGCAAAAGTACCAACAATATTTGGAATAAAAAATTAGTTATGAAGCACATAGTGTAACTGTGTAACCATGAACTGTATTATTCTCATTCATGGAAGACTGTGCAAGAATACCAACAATATTTGTAATAACAAAAATAAGTAGTTATGAAGCACATTAGCAAATTTTCTGAAGGCAAAAAAAGGGATCAAAGGCCAGATATTAATGGCTTGAAGAAGAGGTTTTTTTGAACAGTTAAAGTATCATTATATTAAATCAAGAAAGAAAAAAGTATAGGGTATACATGATCCTGTACAAAGAGATTCAGTACAGTGTAAACAGCATCAAGGACCCCCATAAAAAAAAAGTCTATTTTCAAAAAAAGATGCCATACAATCCTCCCCACTAAAACTCTTGAGGGATAACCTGCTTTTAATCATTTCTACCACAAAATTTCTCACAGCTTCCTCTGGGTTTTCCTTCTGCTATTTTTTAGGATGACTCTGTTGCTTCTTTCTGTCCATATTGCCCAATATTCCCTCTCTTGGACATTCCTTTAACCTGCCACTCTGCTAGCAGATCCTTAACAGTTGCTGGGCAGCACCATAGAACATGGATGATTTTGCAAAAGTGAATCCATATTCTATAAGAGAAGTTGCACAAAAAATAGATGATTAGAGGATTTGATCTCCCTATCACATAGAGGGCACCTTATATCCAGCATGTTAACTCCTTTTCTAGTAAGCATCTCCTTTATTAGACATCTCTCTCTTGCCACCAACCACCAAATGCAAAATAATAATGATGATGATGTCCCCAAATGGCCTTGAATGGAAAGACTGATTCTTTTTTTTATAGGAAACGGTAACTTTCATTAGAGAATTAAAAAGATTACAGGATTACCACCCACAAAATGGATGGAAAAAGAAAATCAAAAACTTACAAACAAGCCCAAAACAAAGCCTCCCTTGTAACTCCTTGCTTAGCTAAAGTGTCAGCCATTCCATTTGCTGACCCTCTTACCCATTTAAAATGCACCCCAATCTCCCTTGCTAAGCTAATAATATCTCTTAGACCACACTCCCAGTTTTCCAACTTGCATCCACCCTATTACCAGCTTGGAGTCTCCTTCCACTTCTAATTGCTGCATTCCCCATTGTTTCGCCAGTTTCAAACCTTGAAGTAAGGCCATTACTTCTGCCCTTAATGAATCTCCCGCCCCAATTGGGCCCGAGTAAAGGGCCAAGACTTTTCCTTCCTCATTTTTGTGCACACCCCTAACTCCCGACTGACCTGGATTACCCAAGGAGCTTCCATCAAAGTTTAGCTTCACCCTGAACTGAGGCATGGTACCCAAAATTCTTGTACCACAGGGGAGGAAGGCAAGGATATAGCTATAGCACTCCAATTTCTAATTAACTCAGCTGAGGAAAAGTCCTTGAAGAGATGATGTACTTTCAGCCAGTGCATAACATTGATGGTGACAACCTCCATAAGTGCTTCCTTGGATTTTTCTTGCCTTAGGAAGATCCTATTGTTTCTCTCTTCCCAAATTGACCATAGGATGGCTGCTCTTGTTATTCTCCACATTACCCTGCACCTTTTCCTTGGTTGTTGGAAGAAGCTAGAGTCAAAAAGGTTCAGCACACCCAAGGGGGGGTTCCATCTGTAACCAAACAAAGAAGAGAACCAATCCCACAAATAATAAGCAAAATGACAAGAAACAAAAGATGAGTCATTGCCTCACCATTTCTTAAGCAAATATAACAGACATGTAGGGAAAGGCTCCAGTCTGACCTTTTTTCTTTGAAGTACATCCATAGTATTGATCTTTTGAAGAGCCACTTCCTAGCAAAAAGCCCTAACCTTTGGCGGCACAGGAGAATACCATATTTCTTTAGCAGGAAAAGAGACAAACACAAAAGAAGACTGAACTAAGGTGTTGAAAAAAGATGAACAAGAGAAAGTACATAAAGAGGTCTCTTTCCAAATTCTATTATCTGGACAGGAAAGATCTAGGAAAACTGAATTCAACGCAGTGAATAACTCATCTGCAGAAGCCAATTCTAAATCCCTCAACCCTCTTCTCAAACTCAAATCCCGAGTCCCCTCAAACACATGAAATGAGGAGATGGTTTTGAATTTATTTAGGGAAAGAGAATACATTAATGGGAATCTATCCTTAAGGGTGGTGTTCCCAAGCCAAAGGTCCTCCCAAAACAGAATTTTATTACCTGAGCACACATCAAATCTGATGAAAGGCTGAAAGGAAGGCAAGACTCCAGCAATTGCTTTCCAAGGGGAGAAATGAGAAGCCCAAGGGTCGACGCCAGCAACCCATCCATTAGCTGCCATCCCATGAATACTTTCCACCACCAAGTGCCACAAACTGTCCTGCTCCAAAGGAAATCTCCACAACCACTTTCCTAACAAAACTACATTTCTTAATCTGATATTGCCAATGCCTAGACCCCCCGCTTCCTTTTTCCTAGAAACTACTACATTTCTTAACGGAAAGGCTGATTCTGCTCACCATACAAACCATGGAAAAAAGACTTGACTGTGTACTGACCTGACTTTGTCCATTCTACTTTTTTATATCTGGGGACTGTACATTGATTTGCTGATTGTGCAGTAATGCTAACAGATCAGAAACTTGCTGCAACTCCCAGTCGTTGAAGTTTCTTCTAAAAGAGGATATAGGTATCCCTTCCATAGAAAATGTCTCTGCTACTAATGTTTCCTTGTTGCTAGCTATCCTGTACAAGTCTGAAAATCTGTCTTTTAAGACCCTATCTTCCCACCAGGGGTCTTTCCAGAATTTTATTTTCCTCCCATCCCCTAACTGATATTTAATTCCTTTCACAAACTAGGGTAACACCGTAACACCATACAAATGCCCTTCCAAAGACCACATCCATATGACTGTTGAGTGTTGAGACCCACCTGGATCTCATCCAAAACCATCTGCCCAAAAGACTGTATTAAAACTCTTCACTCTACTTATTCCCAGTCCGCCAGAAGATATTAATCTCCTTCCAAAGGGTAAATCCAAGTGAATTGTAAAAGAAAAAGAACAAAAAAACTGCATATTTCTATGCCCACTGAAAGTATATGGATATACTAATCTAAAAGTTCAAATGCACACTAGAAGTGCATGATGGATATAACTAAATGAATCCCAACTTCAGTCAAGTTACCTTTTTAGACTCTGAATTCTGAATTCTGAAATCATCAGATAATGAAATAAAGAAAAGGAATAAAAAGAAATTTTAGACTGAAGTTGCTGCACTAAGCAGGTTAGATTCATTGTAAATTATGATAATTGTACTTGCACTTAGACCATGGTAGGTTGGACTGCATCAATGATTGACAAAAGGAACATCTCACTCCACCATATTAGGATTTAGGAGATCTGCCAATGGTCTAGCTAACTCCCTCTAAGAGGTGGGTTTGTGAGTTGAGGCTCTCCCTCGCAAACAAGAGTATCTAATACATGCCGAATTCCAATTCTCCATGGATTCTTGAGAAAAACTTCTACGCAATTTTTCCTTTTCCTCTCCTAGCTTATCTGACATAAATAAATGATTAATATACAAGATGAGTTTCATTTTTCCTATAAAATGTTGTTTAGTAACAAAGGCAACACTACAGACCCATTTTTTGTAGGCATATAATGTTAGGATTCAAAAAATACAAACTATTTTAATAGCATATAGTTTTCTATAGACATTTCCATGAGTCCATGTTTTCTCATCAGACTGTTGGACACATGATAGGTTTCATCTCCCATATCTGTTTACTTGCAAGTTGCAACACCAGTGTCTTGCATTAATAGGTGTGTGGGAGACCGATAATCCAAAAACAAGGTTATATGTATTCATACACAAAAAATACGTTTATGGTGCATATATTTTTACAATTTTTTCCTGATCAATAACAATAATGTAATGCATAGATATACAAAATTGAAGGTAATAACATACAAGTATAAGGTCAAGAAAGAGAAAAGAAAGAAAACCTCAACAAGTAGTAAAAAACAATCTGTCAAGACATGCAATATGTAATGGATATGATCCTTACTGTACATCTTTTTTTTTTGTGGGGGGGGGGTTCAATAACTAATTAAAAGAATTTTGTTAACTCAGAAAAGAAGAGTTAAAAGGAGTTAAAAGTAAAATCATTAGCAGCCTCATAAGATATAATAAGGTAACACATCAACCACAAAATGGAGGCAAACATAACACTATGGATCATTCCATACAACAACAATGCTAAGTTGGAAGAGTGAAGCCCCAATACAGATAAAAATAAACTACTATGCTCCAAACTTTCAATACCAGATAAACGATCCTTGGACTGTCAATACTATCCATTCAATTGATTGACCAAACTTTGCATATCCAGCATAGCTTACAAGGCAATGTGATGAAATAATCAAAAGATTTTTTATCATCAGAGATTGAGCTACAACTTGATGATGAAAGAAAATAATAAGTTCAAGGATCAGGAAAAATTAAACCCATGCATCAGGTACGTAGATGTGCTTAGGTAGCTTTGAGCTATACCTATCTAACAACGCCCCTAATCTAAAATTGCATATGAAGAATGAAAATCATGTTTACGATACTTGAAATGAAACCAGAGTATAACTGAACAGGCATTCCTCTTGTCGCACTCCGTGGAGACTCGCACTACAATAACCAAATTCTTGGTAGAGAACGTTGCAAACAGAGATCCTTACAAACCAGTTCCCGGGCTCTTTTCTATTTCAACAAAATCCATTTAATTGTCGAAAGAAAACGAAACCGTCGTCAAAAAATAAATGAAACGACTACACATTCTAGATTAGATACGGCTTGGGATAGTACTATATTAGTGCTCAGAACTTTAAACAGTTTCTAGGTAAGACCATCCTTGCTGAATTACGCGATGCAAACTCAAGAGATCATATTCACAACAAATTCTATGAACCCAGCAAGGAACTACACAAACTAGGGAGAAATGAGTACGAATTCAGAGGATTAATACCTTTTTGGAGTGTCTGAGCAGATGAGACGCATACGTCATGATTCTCACTCACAATCCAGAACAACCCAGGAATCAACTACAGAAACCTTCACCAGATGCTATTAGTTCAAACTCGAAAGTCGAAAGCCTTTGAACCTTGGGTAGATGAAAGAAATTCTTACCTAACTGGAGTACAGAGACTACTGAGGAAACAGGCTTCACTCTTGAGCTGGCTGATTCTTCGGCTGTTAATTATTTCCTTTTTTTTTATTTCCTTGACCGGATCTGTTTTCAACTTTTCATGAACCCTATTTTCCTTTCCTATTTACGGTGAGTAGACTCGGTAACTCGGAGAGGGTCGCGAGTTTTTCTATCTTGTTCTAATTCTAACAATCAAAATTTGATATCATTAGGTGCAAACGATGTTGGGAGGCAGCAACTACCGTGATGTAGTTTTTCACAATATTTTACCAAGGCCAAGTGTGGAGAGTGATAGAGAAGTGATTATTAGAATAAGCACTTATTTGGTACAGTTTTTTATTTTGAAAAATAAATATGCTTGGTGGTTTTTTTTTCTAGTAACAACTTAATTCATCATATTGGTATTTAGAGAGGAAAAAAAAAGTAATAAAGTTTGATGATGGGTAAAATGACCCTCCAATCATGAACTGCCACATTGTAGCCAAAACCATCTTATAACACATAGATATCACATATGGCATGATTTTGCTTGAATGTTCCTTGGTAGATCGGTTCACATAATCCAAACAAACTCCGCCCTCACTTAAGATCTCCCCGACGGATCAACCTACGGGTCTAGGGAGCGAGTTCACATCTGCACCTTACAATGTTCTATAGCGCATCCCCGCCATGTATTGAAAACATCTCCTTATGATAATACGGGCATATCACAAACAAGTCTCAAAGCCTATATAAGATGACCCCTACCTGTTAATTTTCATCCACTTTGTTAGCTCGGTGCTAACTTGATTGTCGGAATCCTCCATATCTAGCCCTACTCGGGTCATCACCCTGGGCTCTCTGACATATTTCGTCTTAGAAATTTAACTTGCCAATCTCCAAGTTGTCATTGCTAGAAGGGATTTAGCGCGGATTGACGCTCAACGGGGTTGGGCACCATGTTCACTATTATGTTGATGGTGAGAAAACGGAGGAAAAAAAAAATTAAAAAGAAAGTTCACCAACCTAGACGCACGAGCTTGGTTCGAGCTTAAAATCCCAAATGCTTAGGAAGGGAAATAAGTTGGTATTCATAGGAAAAAAAAAATATTAACAAAACTGGATGAATGTAACGGTTGTTTGGTTGAGGATGAAAGAATTAAAAAAAAAAACAAGTATAAAAGAATACTCACCAACCTGGATGCACAACTATGGTCGAGATTGGAGTAGTGGTGACATTGCTATAGAGTCTATGAGAAGAAAAATAGGAAAAAAAAAAACTTCACTGAACAAAGAAAGCCTTATGTTCTTCAATCAAAGGGCAATATTGGCATTTTGAAATGTAACCAATGAGTGTTTTGGAAGTACATTTTAAATAAGCGCTTATTGTATAAGCATTTAAAATAAGCCAGAAATTTTAACTTCTTGAATAAGCTTGAGAATAAGCACTTATTTCAGGGCTTATTTCCCAAATGCCAACAAGTGCTTTTGGATATGGCCCCGACCCAAAAATGTTGATTTGTTACGTAAAAACTGCATGAGATTAATGCTATGTTTGGGTAGACTTTTATTTTTGTACTTTTAATAGTATGAAAATACAAACAACATTTACTTTTCAAAGCAAAACTGTTTGGTTAAAAAATTTTGAAAAACATACTTTTCAAAACAAAAGTAACAATTTTTTTTTAGAAAAAACACCCTATCAGTCATGTGATTCATATGATCTTATATGTGACAAATGCCATATTACCCATGATTAGGCACTTGTATACACTGAAAATACACACATCATGCCACGTGTGCACATCATACACACGTAGCAACGACTTAGAACTGGCAGTTGGTAAAACAAAGTGGTTTGTATAGGTATAATGCTATATATAATGTTACAGTAAACAAGCTATAAAAACATTCCATTAAGCTTCAAAAATAGTTTAGGAAATGAAGAAGTTGACAACAGTGATTCCTATGACAGTAAACATTAAATAAACATACCATTAAGCTTGAATATATTGCATGAAATGGAAAAAGACATTAAAAAAATGGGGAAGTCAGAGATGGGCGATGGCGGAGCAAGAACCCACGGCAGCAAAGAGGTTAGGGCTTCAAGACAATAAGTGAATGGGGAAGTCTTGATCAATGGGGTTTTACCACGTGGCCACCCTTCACACGAAATGAAAGTAAAACTTCCCCAAAAGCACAAAGTAATAAAAGTCGACTTCATGCTTTTGGAGAGTTTTATACTTTTAAAATGTATGACAGCCAAAAGAGGAAGTATGATATTCAAACACAATGTGGTGTTTTTCGTTTTTTGTACTTTCAAAAGTAGGAAAAATACGAAAGTAATTTTGAAAAATATATCCAAACAAGGCCTAAGCTTTAATACGGCTATCTTAAAAGCCATCTTAAGCGTTAACACAGGCAAATCCGTAAAAAATTATTTAAGCATCCAAATTTTAATGATAGAATGACAAAATAAAGCTTATGTAGTCCATCCTATATGATGGACAATGTTTAGATGAATGATGATTATATAACGAAAATGCTTGCCTTTGAAGACAATCACACTAGTCGATTTATTTCCCTCTATCATTTTATTTTACTATCTTCTCCTACAATTGTTTTTCAATAATCASTTTCACTTATTATTTTTGCAGTTTATTTTGTTTCTTTTGCATCTTCCACTATATGCACTTGTTTATAGGGGTGTTAATGGTATTCGAAAATCCAATTTTAAATTTGAGATTTGACATAATTGAATCGAAATCGAATAATTTGAAATTTCGAGTATCTAATCGGTTAGATTCAAATATGGCTTGATTTGATTCGATAAATATATGAATTTGATCGATTATTTTATTCTTATATATAATGTATAAAATATTTAAATTTTTATATATAATAATTAAATTTAAATAATTTATATACGGATATACTTTATATAAATAAAATAATTTTATATATTTATTTATTACCTAAGCTAATTAATTGGTCAAATTTGAATTTGAATATTATTTTTCAATATCCTTTGGATATCAAATTTTCTAATTGGATTTGAATTTGGGTATTGCCTAGTTTGAATTGAATTCAATCCGTTTATAGCCCTACTTATTTATGACTTGGTCTGCCTTATTCTTTATTGGGCTTGGACAAAATTTTAGGCCTAATGGCTTAGGCTCAAGCTTTCTCAAATAAGCCCAATCTGATAATATTACATATGATACAAATATATATTAATAATGTGTAATATGTGTTAATTTATTAATTTTTTGTTGCCAAATTAATATATAAAGAGTCCAAACCATGCTTTGGGCTTTATATAAGGGTCGGGCCTGAGCTTAAGATCTGGGCCTAGTGGTTGGATTAGACTCAGGCTCGAGCTCATACCCAACATGTGAACAGGTCTGCCTCCATCATTGCACATGTTGATTCACTACAATAATTATTCAATCAATAGATTGATATTGATGCTCCAATATAGTTTCACTTCCTCCTTTATCAAGTCTAATTTACTTTTATTTTCCACCCATTTTGAGCATGTAGTTATTTTGTTTTTTCATGAAGCAAGGTTGGCCATATCACTTTAGGGAAGGCACTTTCTACCCTACACAGTGGACACATGCCCTGCTTTTCTTTTTTTATACTTGAATGATGGTTTTGGGGTTCTATAATCAATATGGGTATAGGTAGGGTACGGTATTAGACTAAACTCGACCATCCCTAACCCGTAGGAAGAGTTTGGATTCTTAAAATCCAACCTGCTACAGATTCTAGGGTAGGTACGAATTGGGAATCAGGTAAGGTATAGAATTCACAAAACCATCCCCAAACCTCCCCCTTACCACCCTTAATTTGTAAAATAAACATAAAATATCACAAAATATTTAAACAAATAAACAAAAGGTAATTTAAAACCCGAACTACTGATTTTTTTCACAATTAAGACTTGGGGTGAGCAAGAAAAACTGAAAAATCGAACCAACCGAAAAACCAATCAAAACCAAGCTAAAAATTCGGCTAACCAAACCGACCAGTATACATATATTTATATATATTTTATGTATATTATATTTTCTATACATTCTAAATTAATAAATATGCATTATATATTTATAATATATAACATATTATTTAATATTTAAAAGATAATATTATATATAGTGTTGTATTATAGGTTTATATATTTTTATAATATATTACAAATAAAAAACCGACGAACCGAACTGGTCTACCAATTAACCGATCGACTTTAATTCAGTTTCGGTTACCGGTTTTCCAAAAACTAGTAACCCCAGCTCACCGAATCGTAAGCACCCATAATTAAGACAATAAAAGGGATTCGAAAGGACATCTTGTTTTTTGACTACAAATCTCTTGCACTTTCCAAGGGTGTCAATGGTATTTGAAAATTCGATTTCGAATTTGAAATTCGACATAATCGAATCAAATTCGGATAATTCAAATATCTAATCGGCCAAATTCGATATCCTATTAATGTCGAATAGCTAATCGGTTTTGAATTGAAATGACCTAATTCGATTCGTTAAATATCCGAATTGGATCGGTGATTTAATTCTTATATATAACATATAAAATACTTAAATGTTTTATATAATTTATATATAACAAATTAATTCATATAAACAATTCATATACTTTTATACTTTATATAAATAAAACATTTATTTTATACATTTATTAATTACCTAAAATATTTAATTGGTGAAATTCGAATTGAATATTTAATCAAACTCAAATTTGAATATTAATTTTCAATATCTATCAAATGTCGAACCAAATTTGGATATATAATTTTCTAATCGGATTCAAATTCGGATATTGCCTGATTCAATTTGAATTCGATCCATTTCACACCCCTTACCATAATGATGTGTTTTAGATGTTCAATTATAAGATGAAATAATTGTTAACCAATTCCACACTAGGCACAGTCTGTAAAAGTTTTTTTGTAAGTGTTTTCGTGTTTCATAAAAGTACTTTTGTAAAAGTGCTTTTATTGAAGTGATTTTGTGAAAGTCATTCTATAAAAAACTTATGTAAAAGTGTTTTAATAAAAGTACTTTTGTAAAAATGCTTTTGTAAAAGTATTTTCATAAAAGTGCTTTCGTAAAAATACTTTTCATAAAAGTACTAAAAGTGTTTTTATAAAAATGTTTTCGTAAAAATACTTTCATAAAAGTGATTTTATGATGTCTTCAATTTTGATTGATTTCAAATTAGACAAGGGTTTGGCCTCATGATCGGATTATTGGAAATTTGGTTTAGGTATAATTCCAACCAATAAGAATATAAACCCAAATTTATTTTAGATTGGTCCAATCCAATAATTATAATGGACCGTCCAAATCCGATTTAATAAGATTTGGATAGGATTGGGTCAAAACCAAAACTAGCCGATTGACACCCCTATTTCCATGGTTTTATTATTTATTGATGAACCCGTAAAAGTTCCACATTTATATGGAAAAGATATGATATCCTAAAAATTCTAAACAATCAACTAAAATCATAAATGTGATTGCAAATTGAGTGTTATTTATCAAAATTCATGGGTGGGTTTTGATTGATCAAAATTCTTTCTATACCATATCTTTTTCCACATCATAAATTTCTCCACCCGTAAATTGTCAAATATGCAAATTAGTTTTAGTTTTTCTTTTATTTTTATTACTTTCACCGGCAACCCTGCTAGCAGGTCAAGGGCAAGAGCTGAAATCTAGAACTCTGGGGAGTCTTTATCGGAAACAAAGTTTAAGGAAAATGTCACCAGTCGTTGTAATTTACTAAAACAAAATATAGGAGACACGGACTCCTTTTACTATTTTCACTATATATTCATGGAATAAATTTCCACCAAAGACAACCCAAATTTATGGACATTTTATTGGAAAGATATTGGGGATGTTTGGTATTATATTTTTTAAGAAAAAACAAAAAAAGTTTCACATGGGTACCAATTCAGCGTTTTTTCATACTTTGCCTTGGAATTTGAGAAATATCCTGCTAAGCGTTTCACATGAGTCTCTGTGAAATATCCTGCTAAGCGGTAACAGTTGGACGACATGGCGTCAATGTGGCAGCAACATTATGTTGTTTTTCTAAGAAATATTCATTTTACACCATGGTTTTGAAAATTGGACTGGACCCGTGGACCGGATGGTGGGACTGATTGACTCAGAAACTGATTAGGGAACCGGTTGTATTTCATCCTAAAACTATTTTTTGGGCCAAAGACCATTGATTTGGTCAACAGTTTATTAATATGGGTGGTTAAACCGTTGGTTCGTAGATACAATCAACAGTTTTGGCCGTTTTATTTGAGTCCGGCTTCAGTCAGGGCACCGTTCGTGCAGCATGAGAACGCGCCACGAGTCCTTGAAACGTGCGCGTGCTTAAAACGTGCAAAGTGAAATCCTTCCGCTCCTCTCTCTCAGTTCCTCTTATTCACTCTCTCGCCACACTGAACCGAATCCACCGTCTTCACTCTCACTCTCCCTCTCCAACCGGCGGCGACCAACAGCCACCGGCAACTATTGACACCGGCGACAAGAGAAAAACTCTAGATAACCAAAATACCCAGCTTATGTTGCATTACAAGTGATACGGAGTCGTTCCCCTCTAGCCTCCCATCCTCTCTTTCTTTCTCTCTCTTTTGTCTTCCACTCCCTTATCCTCTTCTTCCGTTCTCTGTTTCGTCACTGCCGAGATCTGGAACACTCCCCAGTTCAAGATGAATCACAACAGCAGCAAGCAGTGAACCCAGCCACTGTTACATCTTTCAGCCTCTTCACCACCACTGTCGTCCCTTCTTCCAGTATTGCCTTGTACGAAGTACCGAAGCTACCTTTCCCCAAAACCTCGGCTGAAGCTCTCAACAGATCCTCCAAGTCGAAATTGTAAGTCCCACCCTCGAAAAACACCAACTTGTTCCTCTCGGCTTCCGCTGGCCCACCGGCGATGTCGTCCTTCGATGACAAAGTGCCCGCTTCTGTAACCACCAATCGAGGTGCCGCCTTTGGAGGCTTTGCAGTGTTTTCTTTCCGTTGCCGCTTCCACAAATAGAGTAAAAGAAGCAGAAGCAAAAGTAGGAGAATTATGCCCGCCCCAACAGCAATCGCGATAATTGGCCCTGTAGAGAGCTTCTTAGACCGCTTTGCTACTACTGGGACGTTTGATGTCGGCGACGGAACCGGGGAGACGAAGAATGGGTTGTAGGGGCTCAACGGTCTGTCACATAGGTTTGGATTGCCGGAGAACGAATCCGGCTGGAATTTTGCTAGGGTATCGGGGATGGAACCATTGATATTGTTATTAGACACATTGAAGTTGACTAAACCGGAGAGATTGATGCTGGGGAGACTACCGGAGAAGTTGTTGTTCTCGAGGAACAGTCCGGTCAAACGCGTAATATTGTTGATAGAAAACAGTATCTTCTCGATGAAGTTATTGAACGAGAGGTCCAAACGTGTCAGCCGAGTCAGCTAAGTCAAACCTGATGGAACTCACCGGAGAAAAGATTGTGCTGGAGGTACAGATTGTGCAAAAGCTTCAGCTGAGAGAAATCAGCAGGGATCTCACCTGAGAGACGGTTGGACCGGAGACTATGAACACGTAGTTGGGAGAGACGGCCGAGGGTGTTGGGTGGGATCGGGCCCACAAGACCGACACCGGGGAGACGGAGGACGACGACATGCGACTGGTTGGTGTCGCATTCGACTCCAACCCAAGAGCAGGCAGAGGCGGATGAGTTCCATTGAGGACGATTCGCGTGAGGGGTTAGGGAGATGAAATCTAAGAGCGCTTGCTTGTCCTGTGTCAGCTCGGGACGGACTCGACGACCCAAGAGCAGTAACGAGATGAAAAAGACAAGGAAACAAGAATCGGATAACGATGTCATGGGAGGCGTCTTCGGCGAGTGGCTTGCAGGGCGGCTCGTGATGGCAGTTCAGCGTTCGATGCAGAGTTGTCACGGGTACAGCGGAAGAAACCCTGCGGCGTCCAAGCCAAGGTAGCCCAAGACAAGCTTTAATATGCTTAGAGGCTAAGAGTTGCTTGATGGGATGGCTCCACCAAAGTCAGTAGCACTGGATCATAACCTCAAGTCCAATGGCCGAGGCACTCTGCTGGATCATACCAGTCCATGGGAGGCGCCACTTACGTGCTAAAGGGGGACGACTATAATGCAAGGCAACTGTGCGCCGAAAAGGTGACTTGGCACCGATGTGAAGGGTCTCCTGTATGCCGATAATGACAAGCACTTGTGTGCCATGATGATAGGCAATCGCTTGGGTCGGAATACACCCATACATTAGGGGCAATGAGATAACTCGATCATCTTGGGCAAGGGGTTGGCGAGGAGAAGGGTCATGCTTGAGCCAAGCCCGCATGCCAACCCTCCCTTTAGTGTTGATAGCGCAGTGCCGGTCCAACACTGTCCCCATGAGCATGTGTGTGCCCATGAGGAACCCTGGTAGCCATGCTAGCCATTAACCAGGGCTGCCCCGCAATGGATGAAGGTTTAGGAGTGCCAAGGTTAGGCTGAAGGAATGGTAGAATCCATCTAATGGACGCCGAAGAAGTTGCGGAATGGGTGTGCAAATTTCAAAAATTTTTCTACATTCCTCCAACTGAGAATCATATTCCCTAAATTTAGAATACCATATTCAATGATCTTATCTGAACCAAATCGAACCAGATCTGAACCAAAAGGAAAAATAGAGGATTATACCTGATCCGGAGAAGCAGTATCTCCCAAAGTTGATGTTCACACCCAAAGAAAAAACCAAGATCCGCTCCTGCTGAAGATGACACAGCTGTGGATGGAACGGAACCAGCAGGGTGCGTCCTACACACCAGATCCTTCGCAAGAATCCTATGGAAACTCTGAACACCGAATCTTCTTCAATCTTTCTCACAAGACTGATTTCTTAACTTCCTAATTCTGCAAAGATCGAATCTTGCAAAAGTATATGGCGGCGGCAGGAGGAGAACTCCAAGGGCGAAGATAGCTGAATTGCTTTTCTTCTGGTTGGAGTATGAATGAGATCTAATATCAATTCGCAGGGAGTTTTCTTTCCACCAAAACCCTTGTTCGAATTCTGATGTGTTTTCTCTTCTTTTTTTTTGTTTTTCTCCTCTTTTCTTCTTGATTAAGAAACCTCCTAATTAGGAGTTATCCCAATCCAAATCTGTATTTGGATAGGGGATTATCTTAATTGTATCTGCATATTAAGTTAGTTTACTCCTGATCTTATCAGGAGGTTACCAGATTCAAATTAGGATAAGGTCAAAGGCCCAATCCTTTTACTAACATTAATCTCAGATTCGCCCCATAGATGGTTGATCATATAAGCCCAGCTCGAAATGGGCTTTTGGCCCATTAGATGTTCAGTGTTCAACTAGCTTCCAATCTGCTGCCTAATTGGGCTTCTTTGTATGGCGTGGGACTCAAGCATTGATCTACATGCCAGCCACATGGGTTCGGCCCAACCTTTAATACAAGGCCCAGCCGAATTCACTGAAAGACTCAATAAACCCCTGAGCCCATCATATGGACCCTATGGGCCCAACACTTACATTAAGTGGTC